GCACCCCGTGACTCTGTTTACCACCAGGAGTTATTTATAATCCCCTGGCTCTGGGATTCGATTGCACACCCGCCTGTGGGGCACGGCCCTATTTATAACCCCGAGCTGTGCCCAGAGCCCCCCGCCCTGCCCTGCCGGGTGCCCATGGCCCACGAGAGCTTCGCCTTCAGCCCCTCGGCGCTGCGCTCGCTGCGGCTGCAGCGGGAGCTGCTGGAGCGGGAGGATCGCCGCCGGGCGCTGGCCCGGGCACCGGCCTCGCGCCCCCTGCCCGGGACCCCCCGCGCCCCCCCGAGCCCCCCGCGGCGGCGCCAGCTCTGCCGGGACCCCGCCGTGCACAACGCCCTCTACGCCGGGGACCTGCCCCGCGTCCAGAGCATCTTCAGGGACGAGGCCAGCGCCAATCTGGTGTTGGAGATGGTCAGCGAGGAGCTGGTGTGGTCACCGGAGCAGGGTACGGCCGGCCATGGGGCTGGGGGTCCTTCCCTGCTTCTCCCTCCCCCCCGTTCCCCTGCAGAACGAGTGGGGGGCAGGAAAAGGGGTGCAGCTCCGGGGGGAGCGGGGCTGGCTGCTCCGGTTTGTGGGTGACAGGGAGTCTGGGGCAGGGCGGGTGCTCGGGGCAGCCCCATGGGCGCCCCACTGCTCCCGCCAGCTCCAGGGTGGGTGGGTGTGGGTGAGGGGGGTCCAGCGGGGTGCGGGCTGTCCGGCAGCCCCCGCTGACCCCCGCAGGGCTGTGGGTGCTGAGCCCCCGCCGGGAGCACACCTCGGCCCTGCGCATCGCCGCCGCCCGCGGCTACGAGGCCTGCGCCCGGCACCTGCTGCTCCGCGGGGCGGCCGTGGACGCCGTGGTGGGGGGCCGGGCCCCCCTGCACGACAGCGCGGCCGCCCCCCACCCCAACTGCGCCCGCCTGCTGCTGGCCTTCGGAGCCGACCCCAACGTGCTGAGCGCCGACGGCTCGGCCCCGCTGCACCTCTGCACCGCGCCCCACAGCCTCAGGTGCGGGCTCACCTGCGGGGTCTCACCTGTGGGGTCTCACCTGCAGGGTCTCACCTGTGGGGTCTCACCTGCAGCCAGGGCGGGCTCACTGCAGGAGGGGCCCGTGAGATCCTCACTCCTGCCCCACCCACGCAACCTGGGAGCCAGGGGCCTGGGGGGTGTCCTGGGGGGTGCCTGGGGGTGTCCTGTGGGTGACAGGTCACTCCAGGGCGCCCATGGCAGCGTCCCGTGGGTGACAGGTCACTCCAGGGTGTC